ATAGGCTACTTATTTAAGTTTTTTGAAGTCATGAAATTGCATTATGAATTGGTAGAAGTTTTGGATGTTTTTTGAATTGAGTAATTTTGTATATATGTAAAACTAGCTATGTTTTGTTAATACAAGTTAATAAATACTGAATTGAGTGTGACTGCAGTGTAGTATAATAATTTGTAGATTTTTTAAAATAGTACAGAAATTGATTCCTTGAAATAAAAATAGTTGGGAAATCTATGTTAAGGAGTTGGGAAATTTGAGGCTTCTCCCCTCCCTGGAATTTAACCAAGCAACGCCACTGGTGTGGCATCCATGGGATCCAGAAAATGCACCGTGGAAAAGAATACATGTTGATTTCTTAGGAACTGTCTCAAATCAATACGTTATACTGGTTGTAGATTCATTCTCTAAATGGTTCGAAGCCTGTCCCATGACAGAAGCAACATCAAAGAAAACAATAGAGTTTTTGGAAGATATCTACCTTGTACATTGGTGAGTGACAATGCTTCGATATTTAAATCAGAAGAGTTTAGTAGCCTAATTACTTAAAACAGAATGGTATTATTCACAGAACCATTGCACCCTATAATCCGCAGAGCAATGGTCAAGCAGAACGCTATGTTCAAGAAGTGAAAAGGTACTTAAGAAAATAAGTGGACACAAAGGGAAACCTGCTAAAAGAAAAACTTCTTAAAATTCTTTCATCTCACCGACGAACACCGACATCGACAACAACAAAAAGTTCAGTGGAGTTTATGTTTGGAAGATAACTGCGGAACTCGTTAGGCCTAGATGTGTTGAGACCTTCACTAGAGTCAACGTTGAAACCTACCTTTCGCACAGCCCAACAAGGATGTACATCTTTCAAAGGAACAACCATAAGAGAGTTCAAAGAAGGTGAACATGTTTTGGTAAGATAAATGGTGAAAAATGGCAAAATTGTTTGAAAGAAAAGGTGAAATAAAGAAAAGAATTGGAAGAGTGGTGTACTCCGTTGCTGTTGATGACATCCTATGGAGACGGCACATAAATCAACTTCGAAAGATATAGGATTTACAGTATCCTTTGAATTATTTCATGGGGGAAGAGTTTGTACCTACTGTGTTAAAACAGATATATTAATTTAAATAGTTTCAGCTGACTTAATTGTTTTTGTTTTGTGTTGTTTATGATTTTGAAATGGAAGTAAAAACTAAGTAACATAAGTTTAATGTTAGTTTCATTTTATATTTAAAACTGTTTATAATGTACCGGTAAGTGCCTACATGTATGCTGATGACTTGGCTTTGCAAATAATTTCCAGTGATGCTACCTTAGTGCAACAGTCCTATGCTGAGGCCAATTCCATAATAATGGATTGGACTACTGCCAATTCTTTGTGCCTGAATGAGAATAAAACTGAGAATCTGGAATTTAGTTATAAATGTAGGCCTATTAGCCTAACTTAATTATAATGTGTAGTAAAATTTTTAGGATTAAGTGTTCAATCAAACATCAAATGGAACTCACACATTGATCTGGCTTAACCCTCCAAGTGTCCATAGTTTAGGCCTTAATGTCCACCTATTTTTGGCGCATTTGCAAGGTTTTATTAAAACGGATCTGAGAAGCTTAAAACAATGTTAATTCTAATGTTCTATATACCATTTTGTTTGGAAAATCATGGGCTTCAATATTAAATATAAAACATAAGGAACATTTTTTCAAAAAAAAAATTTTTTAGGTAAAAAAAATATAATTTCAAAAATTTTCAAAAAAAAAATAAGTTCGCGCCTAATAAAATTGTATAAATTATAGGCCTATAAATATTTGAAAATAGCCACTTTGTTCTAAATTTTATGAGGATTACAAATATATAATAATATAAGGAAGTATATTTGCAAATAAATAAGTTATGGGCAAAAAACTGATTTCAGTACATAGCGTTTAGCTAAGAATGCATAGCCTAACCATAGCTAGGAATCTGGCTGATAATTTACATCAATATCACTACCTACTTCTTCAGGATCATCAACCAGCACTTCAAAACCACTTAAATCTTCTTATAATGCACCACGTATATCACTACTTTTGATTTTTAACACTAAAACAATGATAAACGTAATAAAACACATCAGTCATCGGTCCGGGGGAACCTAGCTGTTTACAAATACACGCACGTCAGCTGTCTGCTACAATATTTTCGGAACTAAAATGAATAGCGCTTAGAGACAGACATCTGGAGACAGCTTAGAATGTAACGGAAAGAACGATACCTAACTCGATCCAGTTCAATCCGATTCAGTCAGTTATAGAGCCTTCGCCGTAAACGATGTCTGCTTGTCGAAAAATCGGCAAGTAACACTATACAAAGTGTGGTGCTTGCCGAATTTTCGTCAAGTAACACTGGGAGGGTTAACCCTCCGAGTGTCCATAGTTTAGGCCTTAATGTCCGCCTATTGTTGGAGCATTTGCAAGGTTTTATTAAAACGGATCTGAGAAGCTTAAAACAATGTTAATTCTACTGTTCTATATACCATTTTGTTTGGAAAATCATGGGCTTCAATATTATACATAAAACATAAGGAACATTTGTTTCAAAAAAAATTTTAGGTAAAAAAAAAATATTTTGAAAAATTTAAAAAATAAATTAGTTCGTGCTCAATGAAATTGTATAAATTATAAGTAAGGCCTATAAATATTTGAAAATAGCCACTTTGTTCTAAATTTTATGAGGATTACAAATAAAATAATAATATAAGGAAGTAGATTTGTAAATAAATAAGTTATGGGCAAAAAACAGATTTCAGTAAATAGTGTTTAGCTAAGAATGCATAGCCTAAACCATAGCTAGGAATCTGGCTGATAATTTACATCAATATCACTAGGCCTACCTACTTCTTCAGGATCATCAACCAGCCCTTCAAAATCACTTTTAAATCTTCTTATAATGCACCACGTATATCACTACTTTTGATTTTTAACACTAAAACAATGATAAACGTAATAAGTTAAAACACATCAGTCATCGGTCCGAGGTTAACAAAGCTGTTTACAAATACGCATGTCAGCAGTCTGCTACAATATTTTCGGAACTAAAATGAATAGCGCTTAGAGACAGACCTCCAGAGAAAGCTCTGAATCTAACAAAAAGAACGATACCTAACTCGATCCAGTTCAATCCGATTCAGTCAGTCATAGAGCCTTCGCCGTAAACGATGTTCGTTTGTCGAAAAATCGACAAGTGACACTACACAAAGTGTGTCGTGAGTCGATTTTTCGACAAGTGACGCTCGGAGGGTTAAGTATTAAAGTGGCAAGGGGTGTTTTTATGTTAAGAAGACTTAACATAAAAAGTGTAGACTTAACATATATTGCTAGTGTAAGTTAGCAGTTTTAAAGGCTGTGTACTTTGCCCATATTCAGAGTTATCTTAAATATTGTATTATAGTTTGGGGTCACTCGCTAGTAATAAAAAAAAACTCCTAATCTTGCAGAAAAGAGCAGTCAGAGTGATGCTTAAAGCCGCGTTTACACCGGAGTTTCAAACAAAAAGTTGCAAACTTTTATTGCAAACTGCAGTTGCAAACAGTAGTTTCAAATAAATGTTTGCAATTTTTATTTAATGATTTGTTTCCATGTTTCATGAAATTGTTTGAAATAATTTTGACCTTGATTATGACTTGCCTCGTTCTGGTTCCTTGGATCAGTCCTTCTGAGGATGTTATTTTAGCCGCGGCGGCGTGTGTCGTGTTGTCAAAGCAACGTAGGCCGAGACGATGCTGGGTGAACATCGGTGATTAAGTATAAATCATCAAATTAAAATTATTTTTAATTTTTAAAGATTACAAGGACTTAATTATAACCCTTTTAATTCACATGAGACGTTATTGTTATATTTAAATTAGACGACCTTGTCATTTGAGATTAGTGTTAATTCATTGACAGTCAAACAGCATTTTTCCGAATAATTTAACACTGAGTCGAGACACAGGGTCGCAGTGATCACGTGAGTGAGAGTGGATGTGGCAGCGTAGGGGATGGCGGAGAAATGTTTCTGTTTCGTGTTTCAACGGCTCATAGTGACCGAAACTAGTGTTGCAAACAAAGAGTTTGCAACTCCCTTTGATCTTTACCGACTTCAAGTGGAAACAAAAATTTCTGTTGCAAACACTGAAAAACTGTTTGCAACAGCGAAATGTTTCGTCTAAAAATGTGCGTTTTTAAAAATGTTTGCAATTTCTGTTTGCAACTCGTGTTTCAAACTCCGGTGTAAACGCGGCTTAATGTTAGTTCTAGGACTCTTTGTCAGCCTTTGTTTAGGAAACATAAAATATTAACTGTTGTGTCTTTGTATATATTGGATTGTTTAATGTATACCTATATCAGAAATAACTTCCGGATGATTTCCCTACAAATGAATCTGTAGGTACACGACACCAGGCAGCACTCTTTTCTCAGAATAAATCAGTGTAATTTTAAGTCTACAATTGTAAATTTTTGTGAGTTTGAAAAGAGCTTTTAACTTGTTGCCGAGTAATATAAAATGTCTGAATTCTAAGTCTTTCAAGAACACCATAGTAGCAATGTTAAATGTAGTTTGGCTGTATAAACTTAAGTTAAGTAGGCCTACAATGTTGATGAATTTTTAGATCATCAACTTAAGTTCCTAAAAGTTTTGAAACTTTTACCTTGACATGGCTGCACTTAACCAAACAATATATCGAATGAAACAATCAAATGAAACAATCAAATGAAAATATCGAATCGAAAAAGAAAAAAAAACAATTGAATGAGTGTCAAGTAAAGTGCAGCCCTTGACATTGCTATACAATGTATTATTTGTTTTGGCAATAAACAATTTGATTTGATTTTGATTTGACTTATGTCAAGACAGTAGGCCTACTTGGAAATATCTGTCTAAGGCGGTTAAAAGGCTGGCGGTTCGGTTAATCAAGGTTCTACTAACTTTTATGAGAGGTAGGGCCTGGTCACTATAACTTAATTAAGTTAGGCCTATTTACCTTTTAGGAGGAACATTGGGATCAACCTCAACAGAAGCAAAGTCAGCAACTTGTCTTTTCAATCTCTCCTCCGGACTAAGAACGGCGCTAGATGATACTGTGTTTTCTGCTTTTGACATATTGTTCTAGAGATGTCCTTTTTAATGAGAAATATATCCTAGGCTACTGTGCGATAACACTAACTTCAACAGTTTAACTGTAGCCTAGCACTCAGTCAAAGTCAAGGTCTCTTGTTATGTTATCGTTATGTGCAAACCTGATTGTTTTGAATCTAAATCTAATACAACATTAAAATCCGTCAGTAAGTAATAACGTTTTCAGAGTTGTATACATCACATCACAAAAGATGAAATGACATTAATATATAAAAAAAAAAAACACTAACGGATCAAAATGTAAAACGAATCACAATAAATTTTAAAACTAAATAATCAACTAATAAGTTGGTACAGTGCAACCACTCCACACGCAGGAGGACTAGTTATTTGTTTTGTTTGCTATTTTTGCTATCAATTGCTAGCGAGTCGAGGCTCAGCCAGTCTCGGTCTCGGTTAGCTTGTAGCTGATCAGCTGATTGAGATGATTCATCCATCATCCATCATCACACATCGTCATCGAAATTAATGGTGGCGAAATCGAACATCGAATTATCAGCATCACGGGGGCGCGTTCCGGACAGGCTCACGGGAGCCATCCGTGACATCATCAAGGGTCTGTAGATTCACGACGTCATAAGTTTTACCATTGATAAAACATGGTTTTACTTAATTATAAAATAAAACTGTTATAACCTAACTAAACTTTCTGATGATGAAAAAATCGTATGAAGGTTTACTAATCGAAAAAAATAGTTCTGTTACTGCTTACCATACTGCTTACTGCTGTTCTTCTCCTCCGCAGTCATCAAGATTGGGGGAGGCGTCATCTTTTTCTTTATGTTCTTAGTTATTGCTTGGTTTTTTATTGTCTTCTGTTAAAAGTAAGTATGGTCATCCAGGAATTCATTCAAACTGTAGTAGGGTCGTTCGAGGAGATAGTTTTTCAGTTGGTTAGCAAATTTTTTCGGGTCTGTAATAGCTTTTAGACGATGTGGTAGTAAATTGTTAAGTTTCATCCCTCTATATGTTGGGGTTTTTGCTGTTTTTTCTAGTCTATGTTGCGGTAGATTCAGATCGTTTTTTTCCCTGGTGTTGTAGTTATGTGTTTCTGATCGTTTAGTGGGATTCAGTTTCATTGTTTGGGTTATCACTTCAATCAAGTATAAGGATGTTAATTTGAGAATTTTGTTTTTTATAAAAAATGGTTTGCAATGTTCTTGATAGTGGGTATTATCATAGATAAAACATACTCCCTTATTATTTAGGGTTCATATTGCTTCTTTTTGTAATATGAAAATTGATTGAAAAAGGTCTGTACTTGCTGCGCCCCAGGCAACAATTCCAAAGCGGAGGTGTGATTCTATGAGGGCATGGTAGGCAATTTTAGCTGTAGTAAAGTCGGTTAGGTTAGTTATCCTTCTCATTGCATAGATTGATGTAGATAGTTTTTGTTGCAGTGAATTAATATGGTGTTCCCATTTTAAGTTTTCGTCTATTTCTATATCCAGAAATTTGGTATGGTCTGATCTGTTTGGGTTTGAGTTACCTAAAGGTCGATTCACACACATCAGGGGCCCTATTTTTGAAATGGTTGACTGTTGAGTTGAGTGTCGAGTCATTCTATTTCCAATCGTTTCGTATTTTTGAAACGGTTGACGGTGGACTTATACAACCAAAACTACTCAACGGCTCCGTGTTTAGCCCGGACGTGTTTGACGCGGACACCCTCAAAATGGTGTTTCACCCGGACGGACGCTTCAGAAATCCCCGCGCCACGGCTGGGTGGGTAATTCGTCGCTTTTCGCCCCCATTATATCGAGTAAGGACGCTCGGTGGCGTTTCCCTCCCAACACAGGGAATTATTATTATCGTATCCAGAACTGGTGGCCCGTAGCTACAAGTGGTAGAAAATACTGTTATTTTTATTTATTATTAATTCTATTCGGATTTCAAAAACTAAACGTTATTACTACCTGTATAATTGCAAGCACGGAATCTATAATGTTATAAATTACAATTACAAATATTAGGCCTAGTTTTAGCAATAACTTTTAAATATAACAATAAAATAAAGGACATTGAAAGTAAGCCTTCAAATTTTAGTATTATATCAAATATTGCACATACTTATTAACAATGAACCTGAGCATATTCCATAACAATTAGAGAATGATTACTTAGGTGGCTATTTTAAAATCAAAATTTAAACTTCAATTTTAGTCCTGCCCCACGGACGGGGAACAAGACTGTTTCATGATTCTTAGCCTGAATTTTTTATACTGCTTTACTGCTGTACCGGATTTTTTAAATTATGACACAACTATATATTAATGACGTAAGCCGATTCTTTGCGTCAAAATTGTGGGCAACTGGGAAGTTGTAGAACGACCGGAGAGGGCTCAAATTAAAGGTCTCGATCCCGTAACGGCGGAAAAAATAACGGTAGTGAAATTCCAAAACTTTTTTGGTCGTGATTTATCTTCAAGCCAGTATGCAAAATGACATTTGGATTACTCCATTTGCCAGTCAATTCTGCAACATACTGTATTCTATATAAAACCAGGGTTAAGGTTACCTATATTAACTAAGACTTTTTAGGGTTATAGAATGTTGAAGTAAATTATTTTACTGTGAAACTTTTCAAATTTGTGTATTTTTAACGTTTAACATGAAATAACCACGTTGACTAAATAATTAACGATTCAAGATGGAAAACTTCTGCTTTGTTTATATTTCAAAACACATGTTCTAGATTTATTCAATTTACACCTTCTTTGTAAATTAACTAACATTTTAAATTTCGAGATTTATTTTATATATCAATTTTTGTATATAATTGTATATAATATAATTTTTATTTATTGTATATCAATATTTGGTATGAAGTGAAATAACCTCAACGGCTACTCTTACAAAATAACCTGGGAATAAAGATGAAATAGGTTTGATCAGGAAATAAATTTCTTAACTAAGTGAGTACTATGACAAGTTCCAATCATGGGCGGAAAAACAATATTGTTTGGAGATTTGAAACAGGTACTGTCTTTACGTTCCAAGCAAAAAAGGTTAAAATAATATAGCCTAGCAAGTATGGTATAGTATATAACATCCATATATAACAGTAAAACCTAGATGTAGTTTCTGTTTCTTTACGTTTTTTAAACAAACAAAAAAATGCATGTAAATGCTGATGAAAAGTATTTTCGTAATTGGTTTCGATAACTGGGTAATGAAACCAGTCCAATCGCAAATGAGTTAGGAATCAGCTGATGATTAGACTTATTTTATGGTGGTGTCAAACTTTATTTGGTGGTGTCAAGTCAGTCGCACCTTTACGAGGAATACCACCTAATAATCTTACACTAGGCTAATAATTGTAGTTTTTTATGTTGATCAGGTTAGGTTTGGCCAATGGGATACCTTTACTTCACACTAATTTTGTTTAACCTTTTACAAAAGGAGTATAAACTATTATTTTGATTTAGCTGTTTTGGCCAAGAACTAAGCATACCTCAACACACCTTCTTTGCCTTTATTTGCCTTTTTATATTTCACGAAGGCAATGTCTAACATTCAAATCAGGGAATCCTTTTTTATGCAAGTTAATCACGAAACTAAATCTACCTTGACAGTACCGTATTTATTCACAAACAAGTATATGTTTGCTGCCTTTATAGCCCAGTCAATAAAGGGATTGTGTCGGAAGTAATTAGTGAAAGGCTGATTTTTTTGCCCATCGACTATTACCATTTAGACAAGTGTTCAGCCAAAAGTCCCCGCCCCCACCCCTCTTGCTTTCCCCCCTGTGCCCCCCTAAACATATAAAGTGTAAGGGTTTCGTAAATCACGTTTGTTTCGATTGTTAAACGACAAATATTGAATTGCAATTAGTTTTATTGTCTTTGTTATCAAATTTCCTACAATCCTGTTCAGTTGACTTTCGTCGTAGCTCTTACCGTTTGTTAGTTATTTGTATAAAAATGTAAAGATTTATATGTTTTTGAACATATAATTTTAATTTTGTCGCCTTAACTTTTTTCGCTGACGTTTTATGAAAATATGTTTGGAACAAAAGTTGTAGCTGCTTTCATTAGCTTTAAAATTATGTATAATAGTACTTACTTTAATAAAAATCCTGCGAGATTTAGGCAATGTAATGCAGTATGCATACTCAATCAGTGAGCTAAGTGGGGCTGGCGCGGCGTTGCAATACTATCATTGTTGTAATATGGAGTGTTTTTTTTTTGTTTTTTTTTTACTTAAGGTACACTATTGCATTATCTCCATATCCCACCGCAGCAAACCTGCGACTACGCAAATTTTAATTTACCTGGCTCGATATTTACTAAAACATTCCCTTAAAATCGTCAGAATTATTTCTTGATCAGATTATTTTAATGAACACTTAGGTTTGCTGCTACAGCCAAGGTATTGAAGAGTGTTCTTTTATTGAAATATCGATAGCTTTTTATGAAATAAATAAATTTCTTTAACATATATCTATGAACAAGCAAAGTGCAACAGTTTTTTAAAGAATAAAATGGGGGTTTTAAATATTAATTTTTATGAATTATCTCCATAACCGTTAGGCGTACAACGTTGCTCCAATTTACAAAAATATTTATTTTTTAAGCTCTACAAAATGGTTTGGAAAGAAATTGTAATATTAAGGGGTTTTAGGGGGAAAAAGGAATAACCAACTTTTACCCCATAAAAACTCCCATAAACCCCTATTCCCATAGTCCGATCTTGCTGGTTCGCAAACTCGTTCGAATAAACGTAAATTGATACGTTTGTACCCAATTTCATCAAAATCGGATCATTTTTGCTTGAGTCGCTAACAGACTCATATATATATATGATTTTAAATTTTACATTTTATTTATGAATTTGAACGGCGGAGGGTGTTTTCGGCCTCTGAGGGCCTCAAAACGAAAAAGTAAATCGGGCCCGGGTCTAGGTCTTACAATGAGACCTACGGTAATAGCTTATTCCCTATATAAGGGATTTGCTAAAAATACAACCGAAACAAAACCCATGTACAGTTAATAAAATTTATTTCTATCCTGTGTATTTAAAAAGCATGAAATAAATTTTATATGTACGTAATAATTGTATTGGATGTTATTTTTGAACGAAATAATTGCACTATCATGATTTAAAGTTAAGAATTACTCATACATCGAATTGCAATTTTTCCCTTCCCCCCTAATATTTTCAACACTGGGGTAAGACGAGTCATCATACACTCGGTTTTTAATTTCTTATCTTATCAAAGCCGCAGCTGTAGAAACGATTCCCTTAATCTTATCACCGTTATGCCTTTTATTTTAAGAGTACAAAGTTTCAGAGAAAATCTTGCCCACCCTATCTCTTAA